CCTCTTCCATTATGTTATGACAAATACTTCTCTCTTTTTTGAACGTTGTTTTGTTTCATGTTCTGGAACTTCATGTTTCACGCACGTCTCTAAATAATAATTCATCATAATATAATAGTGTGACATCTCCCAAGAATCTAAAAGGACACACCCCTTGATTTTTTTTTTCCTCTGCTTAAAATGATATTCCTCAACAACCCTCTGAGTAATAGAGCAATTTCCATTTTATTATTTTTAGCTTCATTTTTCCTCATTTCTTTTGATAATCTTTACTTTTATCATTAATTAAGGCTTGCGCTTATTTATTTATTTTTAATATTCTTACTTGTTTTATATGTAGCCTATAAGGTCTTCTCTTAGTTCGGTTAATAATTGGGCATGTGATCACGTTTGTTTCGTTGGAAATAAGTAACCAATATCTTGATCATTTTTTAATGAAAATTCTGACTTTCTGTTCTTACTTGCTGAGAATTACTATAATTATAATGATTTGTGGGGAGGTTCCCCAACTGTATGAAGAGGATATTAAGGATTCTAATTTGTTTCGTTGAGATGAAAAAAATTAACAATGTATGTCTTCTTAATTAATTTGTAAAATTAGTTGATAAAAAAATAGGAAATTAGTTATTGGGAAAATGACAAATGAAAACAGTGAAAATTGCAAAATCCCAAGTCAGAATTCATTGTAACACTTTAACGGGTTCAATTAATTTGTAAATGGCAGCACGTTTTCGTGAAAAATATTTTATTTGGGATTTTGTAATTTTCACGGTTTTTCTTTGTATTTTTTTCTTAGTTATTTATAATTAGTAATGCCTTCAGTCCTTAATATAAGATCTAGTTAACTAGTTTGAGTAGATTGAAAAGGTTTGTTAAATCAGTTATTTGTAATAAATATGTGTTATCTTTTCCAAAATACCCTTACTAATCATGTGTATTAGGTAAAATTACGATTTGATGGAACTTTTAATATATACTCTTTCCAATCCTTAATATAAGAGATTATTTGACTTTTATTTTGGTCATAAATATAAGACCTCAATCTATTTTGTCTATCATATTTATCTATTTTTTTTTCAAGATAGTCATTGTAATAATAGTAGTTTTAGACAGTATATTTGATTAGGAATTAGAAAAGACAACACTTGTTTATTACAAATAACTAACTTAACTAGTTTATTTAATCTACTCAAATTAGTCAAATAACTATTATATTAAGGATCAAGGTAGTATAACTACTATAAGGATTACTTAAAAAAAAAGAATAAATATAAAAAATAAAATGAATTAAACTTTTATATTTAAAACCATATCGGATGTTAAACCAATTCTTATATGAAAAAATGACAGAGAAATGATTTATAAATTTCAAAATCCCCAAATAGTCGCTTAAACAAGTAAGATTCCAGTTTAGGTATAGGTAACCAAATTGGAATTTGCAAATTTGCTAAAATAATCATATTTCCCTTTATTTAAAAAACATTACCACGCACTTTGTTGGTCGCTGGGGCTCCGGTGGCTGGCAAATTTTTTATTTTTTATTCTTACAACTTTAATAACGTGGTTAACAAGTTTTTTAACGCTATTAACAAGTTCAACATAGTAGTTAACAACAGATTTTTTTAGAAAATTCAAAAAGCAGTATTTTTATAATTTCAGTAACATAGTTAACAAGTTCTATAACATTATTAATAAGTTTGATATAGCATTTAACAACAGGTTTTTTGAAAAATTCAAAAAGTAACATTTTGATAATTTCAGTAACATGATTAACAAGTTATGCAACGATATTAACAAGTCTTATAATGTCATTAACAACTCTAACAATAAGTCATGTAATATTAACATCTCTCATTGCCATAGTGAGTGCCTAACAAATGAAAACATTTTGATCTACAATCTTCATAGTAAGCTAATATTAAAAATATCGACCTTCATGTGGAAATTTTGTTATTGATGCTGTGAGAGTTGTTAATGTCATTATATGACTTGTTAATAACGTCATTAAAGTTGTAAAAATACTACTTTTTGAGTTTCCTAAAAAATCTATTATTAATTGCTATATTGAACTTATTAATAGCGTTATGGAACTTGCTAACTATGTTATTGAAGTTGTGAAAATACCACTTTTTGAACTTTTTGAAAAAATCTATTATTAACTGTTATGTCAAACTTGTTAATAGTATTACAAAATTTATTAACCGCACTACTGAGTTGTAAAAATCTCCAAAATAAATAGTTGTTGGCTGCCAGAGCTTCCATGACGAGTCATCAGCTGACTGTCAGAGCTCTAGTAAGTGGCTAGTTGGTGGCTAGCAAAAGATTAGCCTAGAAAGGCTTTGAAACCAAGTCAAGCGTTCCAATCCCATCCCAGCTGAGTCCTAGAAAGAGCCAAAAGCAGAGAGGATACTTGATATTTTCTTTAAAATGGGTAATATAATCATTTCAACAAATATACATATCTTAATTTGGTCACTAATATCTAAACTAAAATTTTATTTATTCAAGTGATTATTTAGAAATTTTTTAATCTAGGAGTAATTTTTTTGGTCATCTTCCCTTCTTATACCAAGAACAGTATGCTAGAAATAAATTTTGATGCTAATGAATTCGGAAACATCGAGACCGACCAGACCTTTGACTTGATTTTTTGGTAATAACCAGGCGTCTTAATAATGACGTCAGCATTACATCCTCAAAAAAAGGGGAGAATAACATTTTGGGTAGCAACATTTTGATCCTCTAATTTGAAAAAAGAAAAGAAAAGAAATTATTAATACAGTAGGGGGTATGTCATAGAGTGTGTTTGAAAAAACTTTATAATTTTTTAAATACAACTTTTTAATAATAATTTACAGAATACGAAATAAAATTTTATCTCAAATTATGTAAACAAGTGCCTTAACAAGCTCATATTTGGTAATTTTTGAATGATTTGCTATTTTAATTAAGCCTCTTAAGCATCAATAATTTCATCATAGAAGACTCAAATATCAATATCCAAAAAAAAAAAGGAAGCAAATTCGGGGACCGTGAAACATAATGAAAATATATGATAACCAAAGCTGCATGAATGTGATCTTTAAGTGGGCTATATATCCAATCACACCAGTTACGAATGACAAACCAACAACTAAATATTTGCGACTCACACTTTATTTATGTTAGCAAAGAGCAACCTTTGTGTATAACCTCGTGATATTCCTACGATATATATGATGTTCAAAAACTCTTCATTTGACACTAATATGTTTGAGTCAGTACTTCCTCATGCAAATGAAGTGATGGTATGTTGCCATTTTTGCAACTGCTGTTAATTAGTCAAGTTTGTACTGCTCATCATTTTAATGGAGGCATCCATCATCAGAGAGTTTAATGAAGACAGTTCAGCCAAACATGTTAGGGATATATCATCATCCCATTTCCTAACTATGAGTGAAAATTAATTACTATATTCCGCCGTTAACATAAAATTTATTTTACATTTTAAATTGAATTACAAATTATACACTACCTCTGGTCCTAATAAATATAAAATCTACTTTCTTGATTATATTTGTAAAGCATTTTTAGCATGTTTCACAGACAGACAAAAAAAACCTTAAACTTCATTAACTCTCATTTAAAATTTAATGACTTTCTAACTTTATTCCTGTTTAATATACATTATATCTCATATAAACAAAGTCAACACAATAATAAATGAGGAGTAAAATTGTATATCCATACAAAAATTTTCTCAGTGCTTTATAAATAGGACCTGAAAAGTAGTTTATAGTACAATAAACTAGATTTTATGTTTAAGATGAGAGATAGTATTATATTAAGAGTTGGAGGTAATATTACATATACATATAAGTATAATGGGCCGTTTGTGTGTGTCTACTAAAATAATACAGTGATATATACATAAATTTCGGCATAAAGACAACATGTTAATAGAAATTTTATTTGCATATAAACAAAAGAGAAAAAGGCTGAGTTATTTAATTAAATAGATAAATGTGGGCATCATTTTCCTGCAAGTGCAAGTTATGTGTGAAAGCAACTGCTGCATTATTATTAGGGATTTCCCCTGGGAGAGTACCCTGTTGCATGACAACCCTACCTTCGTCGTTTTCTTCTCCATTTTAATTAAACTTTGCGAAGCCCCAGAGCACTTTCCTCCGTGAACATTACCCAATACGAATGAAATTAATAATAAAAATTACTATTACTTTCAATTCTTAATATAAATTTTTTTAATTTATTTTATTTTTTTTATAAATATAAATCTCAATTTATTTTGTCTCTCATATTTTATTTATTTTTCTAAGATAACCCTTCTAATAATAATGATTTTAGTCAATAATTTAATTATTAAGGATATTTTAGGAAATACAATACTTATTTATTACAAATAACTAGTTTAAATTATTTTTTTAATCTACTCAAATTAGTCAACTAACTCTATATATAAGATCAGAGATAGTATCATATTATATATACACATAAATCTTCTACTATATGTATATATTAAACTATTTAACAATTTGAATGTTATTGTATATACAAATATTTTAAGATCAAAATTTTATAGAGAAATATGAATTTAAGAATGTAAAGTAAATTAACTAAATAGTTTCTTTTTTGGTAAAAAACTAAACAATTTATTTCACAATGGATAGATAATATAGAAAATATGAATAAAAATAATTCAAAGCACCTCTTTCATAATATAATATATTTTTTACCTTGGTTTCATAATTATAGTTAACCACTATATACAAAAAAAAAGAATTGAAACTTAATTATAGTTAATTAACTTCTCTAATTTTATATTTCTTTCCGTGTTTTTTTTAAACCGGTATACAATTGATTTGTTGAATTCCAAAAAGAAGAAAGAGTCAAAGTGGGGCACCCAATCCTGAATTTAAAGGGTGATTTCGGTAAACTCACACCCCTCATGCAAGAGATAAAAACGCTCATAGATTCGTTCACTCGGTAACCCCCCTCCTCGGCTCCTCCTCCTTCCCCCCTTCCCCTCGCTCCCTTCTTCCTTTATTTCTCTCTCTGTAAACCCTGACCGACTTCACCAACTCACCATTAAACTCCTCTTTCACTCACTCTCACACTCAATGGGATCAGAACCTGATTACGATCACCAAATCTATTCTCCGTCCAAGCTTTCCATGTTAATCTCTCGCCCCATCAAACCGCCGGAGGCCGCGCCTCTTCCTTCGCCGCCCACCGCCGTGTCGATTCCCTTCCGGTGGGAGGAAGCTCCAGGGAAGCCTAGGCCCTGCCACACCCGATCGGAGCCCGATAGTTGTGGGAGAAGAGCCCTGGAGCTGCCTCCCAGGCTGGTATTTCCGGAGTCCAAGGCCTCCAACGTCCACTCGCCGACGACAGTGTTGGATGGGCCATACGTGGGCCGGGCCGTGTCCTTCACGACGTCGTATAGGAGTCCCCGTATGGTGGGGAAGGACCAGTGGAATGGCAATTTTGGGTCTAGCAGGTGGAGCAGCTCCGGGAAGAACAGGAGGCAGGAGTACGGGGCTAGTATTGATTTTTCAAATGGTTTAACCTTTTGGGACGACGGTGGCTTTGAGTCTAATACCACTGTGAAGGCTAAGATCGCTAAGATCGGAAGAAGAGGAAGCTTGTTCAATCTATCTCAGTCAAGATCACATTTGTGGGTATGTATCCTTTTCAATATGATCTTTTGTTTAATTCGAACAAAACTAAGCATATGTGCAAGAAATACTGAAATTAATCTTGTTTAATCGGCTTTTGTTTCATCATATGAGTTTTTCCTCTCTGTTGTTTATTTCAATTACTTGTTTGGGTATGTGATTGGAGTTAATAACCAGACAATTAATTTCTCCGACGGATGAAAACTGAGAATGCTTTTATTCATCACTCAATTAATCAATAATATTCAGCACACATTCTAGACTTTCAAGCTGAATAATGAAGTTGCGTTCATATTCTTTTAGAAACATTTTGAAGACATGTTACTGTATCCACTTTTGGCTGCCAATTATGATCTCCTTTTTGTTCTGTACAACCCATCTTATACCTGGCAAGTAGCATCGAAATGGAATATGTGTAATTAAACAAAATGCCTGAAACAATTAAAAGGAAAAGATCATGTTTGACTACAGGTTTTACTTTAACTTCCTGCGATGGCCGAAAAAGAGCCAGGAGACTAAAGATGGTGATCAAAAGTTTTTCTCATTTTCTGTCTTGTTCATTTTCTTGGGAAAGCTTCTCACAGCTGACATAGACTTTTGAGTTATCTTCTTGTACGGTTGAAATTTATTAAACTCGCGAAAAGCTGGACCTGATGTAGAGCGTAGGATGAATTTTACTTTTAGATGCGTATTATGACTTACGAGTTAGTAAAGTGTCTAATCTAGCAATTTTATGGATACAGGCAAGCATTTATGAGAGCTTGAAGCAAGTGGTCCCATGGAAACGCAAGCAAGAAAAGCAGAGAAAATGGGATCTCAGAAGAAATTGATGTAATCTGATTTGATTTTACTGGTCCCTTAATTAAAGTTATCCCCTAAACCCACCCTTTATTTGTACAGCAGGAACAGCAGGAGTATGCAAAGATGAGCTCCTCTTATCTTAATGCAATTCTACGTATAAAGTGAACTACTTTATCATATGTTATTTATGTCACAAGTGTAATACCAATAATAGGGTACTGTTTATTATTATTATTATTTGATCAACTAATGAATGATAAGGTTGTTTTAATTTTAATTTATTGCATGATTTTATTATTAACTAAAGCGGAAAGAGGGATCGTAGAAAATGCAAAGGGTGTGAAAGATGTGTGATAAGTAGGGCCGGAGATCTTTGAGCAGATTAGAAAATTAGAATATTGGGGTGGTGATGTGCGGTGGTCGTTTGCCTGGATTGAAAAGGAAAAGACAAAATTACGTGTGGATGAAGAAAATATGATCAGATTCATTGACCAATAAATAAGCGGATCCTTAAGTATTCAGCGGGTGGTTTTCAAAGATTATTTTAATTTTTTTTTAACAATTTAATGGGGGGCGTAAAAGTCATGGCCTTACTCATTATCCTACTTAACGCGGGTTGACTCCTGGAGATGAGTCTATCCAAAAGGAAAGTGAACAATGCTGATTATTTTAATAGACGTGTTTACTTGGAGGTTTGATATCAAAAATGTTGGTTACAAAAAAGAAAAAAATTATTAATATGTTGTGGCCCCTGGACCTATGTATAGTTTCTCATGAATAAACCTATATAAAATAATTACCGGTATCTATTATACTATCTTGGTCATCAATATAAAATCCAGTTGTAGGGAGAGTAAATAAGAGTGATAAATAACCTGATTTGCTACTCTTAAAATTAATATATGATCTAATGATACATGTAAGTATTTTAGAGAGATCATGTAACATATGTTTTAATTAAATAATTCAATAACTTTTTAATCTTTTCAAATTAATTAACTGGGTGTTATATTGATGTGAAGGTAGTAATTTATAAGAAGTTTTTTGAAATGGGTTCATATTATTTCATAATATAAATTAGTTTGGGGAAAATAAGGATTTATTAATTACTTTATATGCAATTTTATACTAGTGCAATGAGTCAATTTTAATTTAAGAAAAAATGATAAATATGAGAAATAGGTCTTATATCTATAATCAAAATTAACTAACAATTAGATCCTATATTAAAGACCGGAGGAGGATATATAAAAAAATAACTAAATTTAAATAATGATATAAAAATTAAATGTTCTTCTGATCCTATCATTCACCAACTTTTAACTTTTATTATTACTTACCACTTCCACAGCGATGATGTAATCAAATCCAATTTGTGATGATAGCATGTTTGGTTTTCAATTTGTAAATAACCCGTTCATCAAAAGTCGATATCGTTAAAAAAAAAGTTCTATTGCACAAAAATAATTTTAAAAAATAATTATTATAACACTCGTATAATTTATGTTTGGATACAGTTAACAATTTGGTTTGAAAAATTAAAAGCTGTTTGAAAAATAAACTCAGATCAGTTTTTTTCTATTAAAAGTAATTTAAATTTTTTCAAAAGTCAAAAATAACTCTAACTGTTTTTTGACAGATGGACTTTATAAAGGCTTAAAAAACCCAAACAACTTGTGACCTCAGGGTTTGTTTGGCTTAATGAGAGGAAGTGGAGGGGAGGGATTTTAATGGAGGAAGGGAAAAAGAGAAGAATAGAAGGATTTTAATATCACATACCTTTTGGATTTATAAAAAGCAAGGGGAGGAGATGAGTTTTAATATTATCTTGTTTGATTTATGAGGAGAGAGGAGGAAAAAATATTTTAACATGGACAATTTCGTCCTTATTTTATTTAAGAAATCGATATAATGGTCATCACATGACAAATATGGGCATAATAATCAAAACATGACAAATATTACTCTTTTCCTCCAAATTCTCCTAATTTTGGAGGGAAGGTTGAGGAGGGGAGGGGAGATAAAAATTTTCCCTCCCCTTCTAAAATTTATATGTTGCCAAACAAGAAAAATGATTAAATCCCTCCCCTCCCTCTCTTCTAAATCCCTCGTATACCAAACACACACCCTTAAAATCGTTCCAAAGTGAAGACGAAACATATTGACAAGCTCCATCATATCATACTAATCAAAATTTGTTATAAATTTTACGAGACATTATTCTTTTAAAGTTGCTATGCTTATTGCCACTGGTCACATATTTAAAATTGTCTCACTACAACGAGAGCCTGACCATGAGTCAAGAACAAAAAATGGTCCCTCCAAAAATTAAAGATTAGTTCATGTCACTCCCGTCGGCTGCCCTTTCCTTTTCAGGAGCCAGAGAGCTACCTTAATTTTAAAGAGGACTTCAATATATATATATATATAATATTATTCTTTCGGTCTTTAATATAAGACCTATTTAATTAATTTAATTAAATTAAGAAAGTTAAGTAAGTTAATTAATTAAAAAAATATAACATATTTTTTCTAAAATACCAAATCATCTTTTTTAATATCTCATATCCCTCTTCTACTTGATTATGGTTGGAGGAGTATCCATAAGGATATTTAAGAAAAATTAATAAAGATGAGAAATATGTTTTGTATTTAAGACCAAAATCAATTCAATAATTAGGTCATATACTAAGGACTGGAGGAGTATATATATTTGAAAATATTGTAAAACAAGAATCTAATAATAAAATTATTAACCGTAAATTTGCCTGTTGTAATAAGATCTTCACTAATTTTTGTGCAAAAACAACACGTGTGGATATTATTAATCTTGAGTGCGCACGCGTTAGACATTCAGAAATCAGAATCACACACACACACACCAGTCACTTTCTGGGATGAACGCGTATTTTCTTACGGTTTGTAGCTTGGTATTCGATTGATTGAGTCCACTTTTGGTTGCTTCTTGAGTTTCTTGTTAAGTACGTTCCATAAGAGATCTGCTTATATACAGTAATTTTCTCCCCCAAACATATTCACACTTCACCATCGCCGTTGACTTCTTGACTCGTCCATTTATAGTATTCACTGTTCGCTACAGTGTTCTTTACGTTCACCTCATTCCCCCACCGCGGAAAGGGTCAAAGTCATACGCGTTGAATATTTGTGATCATTTCGTCGTCATCTTCCTCGAATTTTAACATTAATTTTGGTTGTTACTTGTTTTTGTGTCTGTTTAGTCCAATTCAATTCAAAAGTTGCACGTATGTTTTCTTTCTTACTTTCTCTTCTTCATCAAGAGGGTCAATCATGCATTCATCATTTCCTTCATCAATGTGACAAGAAGAAAATGCTTCTTAATCTACTCAAATCAACATTAAACCCTCCCCTCCGTCAAAGATTGTTGGTCAGGAGGTTCATCCACACAGCAAACAACCAAGCAATCATCATCAACATGATGATAATAACATGTATAAAAGCCTCGGCGTAGAGGGAAAAAAACAGCTTTTAAAAACCATTGGATAAGAGTCTATATTACAGCGATTTTCCGCAGAAGTAGCGAAGGTTGTTGTTGAAAGTGTTTCTTGATGTATCTGCAAGCATTCTAGTGCTGTTGTGAGTACTTGCTGTTGCTGATGATTACTTGCTTGACCAAGGAACAAATACGTGTGTTGACTATGAAACAGCGTGAGATGCAGAGTATTAAGAATTCTTCTAATGCAAGAAACTAGTTTGCACAGTAACATCCATGGTGAGCCAATTAAATGTAGTTCAAAAAAAAAAAAACGTGGTTAGGATATAGTATCTGTCTGAAATGGAAACTCCTCGTACAAAACGGCAGAAAACTTGATGCCCAGCCAAACTTATCTAGAGTCTAAACATTTTACTAGTTCATAGTTCATACTGTTCTATACACCTAAGCTATAGCCTAAAATCCCCTATCCTGCACCTGTCTGATGGTGAAAATAGTCAGGCCTGGGCTTGGAGTGGCAGTGATCTTCTCCTTTGTAATTAGCTTTGAAACATGCTTGCCTCAGCTTCTTA